GTGAGGGAACTCCTGGAGGACAGGGGGTGATGACCCTCGATTGGCCCCCCAAGTTGCAGATATGAATATTATTGAAAACGTCTGGAGGGGGGGAGGGGGGGGGGCGTGAACAAGCCTCTGTCCCACCGGCCTCTGCACAGGGGTTCTGAAGACGAATTGTCGGCTGCGCTCGAAGCTGAGTGGGAGCGGCTACGCTCGTAGGACCTATTCGCACGTCTCTTCGAGAGTCTCCCGCGCCGAATGGCTGGCAATGTGGCTGCTGGAGGTGACTTCACTAAGTATTGATACGGAAACAAGGAGCAAGATCGGAGTCTATAAAAAAGCGTTAGCGAGGAATGCAACGGTTTTATATGAATCTATTGAGGGCCACATGAGAATATACGAATTCCTTAGGCGACCTGGCCATTTGCATCATTCGAGTTCGTTATTTTGTTCTTCATTTCTTTTTTTTTTTTTTTGCAAAGTGGCTACTTTTGTATCAGTCAACATTTTTTTATTTCTTGTTCACGCTGTAACTTTTTCGCAGGGCCTGCCCATGCGAGATATTTCGCCACGCCTACCGGACGTTTCTGGTAACACGTGTTTATCCAACACAGGTCGTCTTCCGTTCACAAAGGAACTGTTTCCACTTTTATTCCGTACTTCCGATATATGAAGTCATATTTTTAATGAGTGTGCTCTTCGACTTACGACTTATCGTTATATGCTTAACTTACTGAATCTGAATAAAATGTGCGCTGATGGTACGAGCTGGTAGACTATGTCAATCACAGCGCGGTACACAACACAAAAAGAAAACAAGAAGTGACGCAGTACCAGCTTAGGGAGTTGGTTATCACTGTCCTCCCTACTATTTCATAATTAATCCAAATATTACATTCTCGAAGAAATTTCTCACTCGTCCCGGGTTCGCTCTTGTCCTTTCGTTCGGCATGTCGCGCTGCTTTTGCCAAGTGTTTTAAGGTGAAAGCGTTGTCCCATTTCGCGAAAAAGCAGCGTCGTTGGCGCCAATGATGGATATAAAAATACGTCATCAAGCACGCGCCGCTCAATCGTATGCTCATGACAACGCCGTCCTTGGCGTCGTCTCAGAGGTCGTCCTAGACGTCGTCCTCTAGGTGTCGTTCTTGACGTTGTCCTAGACGTTGTCCTAGAAATCGTCCTCGACGTCGTCCTCTAGGCACCGTCCTAGACGTGGTCCTTGAGGTTGTTCTAGAAGTCTTCCTGGAAGTCGCCCTCAACGTCGTCCTAGAAATTGTTTTAGACGTCGTACTCTTGGCGTCGTCCTAGACGTCACCCTAAAGGTCGTCCTAGACGTCGTCCTTTAGGCGTCGTCCTTGACGTCGTCGGAAAAATCGTCCTCGACGTCGTCCTCTAGGCGTTGTCCTAGACGTCGCCCTAGAGGTCGTCCAAGACGTCGTTCTTTAGGCGTCGTCCTTGACGTCGTTCTAGAAATCGTTTTAGACGTCGTCCTCTAGGCGTCGTCCCAGACGTGGTTCTCGAGGTCGTTCTAGAAGTCTTCCTGGAAGTCTCTCTCAACGTCGTCCTAGAAATCGTTCTAGACGTCGTCCTCTAGGCGTCGTCCTAGACGTCGTCCTAGAGGTCGTTCTAGACGTCGTCCCCTTGGCGTCTTTATTGACGTCGTCCTAGACGTTGTCCTAGAAATCGTCCTCGCCGTCGACCTTTAGACGTCGTTGTAGACGTGGTCTTTAAGGTCGTTCTAGAAGTCTTCCTGGAAGTCACCCTCAACGTCGTCCTAGAAATCGTTTTAGACGTCGTCCTAAACATGGACCCCTAGGCGTCGTCCTAGACGTGGTCCTTGAGGTCGTCCTAGAAGTCTTCCTGGAAGTCGACCTCAACGTCATCCTAAAAATCGTTTTAGACGTCGTCCCCTAGGCGTCGTCCTAAAGGTCGTCCTAGACGTCGTCCTCTAGGCATCGTCCTAGACGTCGTCCTAGAGGTCGTCCTCTAGGCGGTGTCCTAGACGTGGTCCTTGAGGTCGTTCTAAAAGTTTTCCTGGAAGTCGCCCTGAACATCGTCCTAGAAATCGTTTTAGACGTCGTCCTAGACGTGGTTCTTGAGGTCGTTCTAGAAGTCTTCCTAAAAGTCGCCCTCAACGTCGTCCTAAAAATTGTTTTTGACGTCGTCCACTAGGCGTCGTCCTAGACGTGGTCCTTGAGGTCGTTCTAGAAGTCTTCCTGGAATTTGCCTTCAACGTCGTCCTAGAAATCGTTTTAGACGTCGTCCTCTAGCCGTCGTCCTAGACGTAGTCCTTGAAATCGTTCTAGAGGTCTTCCCGGAAGTCGTCCTCAACGTCGTCCTAGAAATCGTTTTAGACGTCGTCCTCTAGGCGTCGTCCTAGACGTGGTCCTTGAGGTCGTTCTAGAAGTCACCCTCAACGTCGTCCTAGAAGTCGTTTTAGACGTCGTCCTCTAGGCGTCGTCCTAGACGTGGTCCTCGAGGTCGTTCTAGAAGTCTTCCTGGAAGTCGTCCTCAGCGTCGTCCTAGAAATCGTTTTAGACGTCGTCCTCTAAGCGTCGTCCTAAACGTGGTCGTTAAGGTAGTTCTAGAAGTCATCCCAGACGTCGTCCTTTAGGTCGTCCGAGAGTTCGTCCTCGGCGTCGGCCTAGACGCCGAACTTGGCGTCGATCTCCGTCCTAAACTGTTATACGTGTCGAAAGATTACTTGAATACATTCCACCCGCGGGACTATAATGCTTTCGTCTTCCTACAGGTAAGCAGTTTTAAGTGTCCTCCCTGTAATTTTAGAGCGCAGCTCTTAGGGGCACGTTCCCGGCTTGAGCGGCGTCGGCGTCGCCGTCGGCGTAACCAAGGTCACCCCAAGGTCACGCGGCTTCCCAAGGTCACGTGACCCCTCCCCCAGGGTCACGTGCCCCCCCCGAGGACACGTGACCCACCCGCCGAGGTCACGTGACCTCCCCGATGACGTCACCGGCATCGGCATCTTCATCATCACTGATGACGTCATCAGTGACGTCACTGAGGACCTCACCGGCATCCGCATCGTCATCATCACTGATGACGTCATCAGTGACGTCACTGATGACGTCACCGGCATCCACATCGTCATCATCACGGATGACGTCATCAGTGACGCCACTGATGACGTCACCGATATGCGCATCGTCATCGTCACTGATGACGTCATCAGTGACGTCACTGATGACATCATCGTCATCGTCACGTGACCCCCAAGGTCACGTGACCTCCCCAGTACCCTCCCTCGTCCTCCTCATGAGCTGCGCTCTAATTCGGTGTTACAGGGCTTTCACTTTTTTTTATTACAAACTCATGATGCGTATAACAAAACAATAAAAAAAGCTGCGCGAGCGAAGAGGAGGAAACTGCGGCCGCGCTCAGCCAGCGCAGCCAGCGCGCGCGCAAGCTGCTACTAGCTGCGAGCTTCGTCGCGCCGCACGCGTCGAGCGAGCAACGATAGCGGTGAAAGCTTTCAGCGCACCAAGAGGCGCAATGCCGAAGCTTGAGAGGCACCGCGCGAGGGGCGTAGACACATCGGAGTAGGCCACAAACCCTCGTCCTTAGGCTCACTTCTAGGCGGCGCAGCCTGTACCGAGAGACACGCGCTCCTCTGTTCGCGTTTCATTTTTTCCCGATAGTACATAAGGGGCTCCGAGTGGCAAGCCACAGTCAGTTTCACTCCAGCGTTCGACTCTGCTGTCCCGCTGACCTTTACGCTCTGTTATCTTCTGTTTCCGTTTTTTTTTATTTTGTGCACATGTTCGCCCCATTAAACGTTCAGTTTCTTCAGGTATTATCGCCTCATCACTTGCCATTCGTGACAATATATAGATATATATATATACTCCAAACGACGTAATTTTCCCGTGGATCTAATTTTCGCGAACCGCCTCTGATTCGCGAACAATAGGTCCCGCGAACAATACGGGAAAAATTTCACCACCTTGAAAGCGGCATTGAGACACCGGGGAAACACGCGTCCAAAAAGCATAACGATATTATTATACGCGACATGTGAATATGATATGGAAAGTATACTAAAGTAAATAACGCCATAAGTCGGAATTCAGCTCACCTCAAGAAGTTTATTTGGTACCTTCAGACAATTCCTGCCAGAGTATAGCCGATTCGGATCGTGTCTCTGCGGTTCTCGAGATCCGCATACACTTCATCAGCCATGCTGCGTGAACGGGCTTCATAACACTTGCTCGCAAGTCGACCTTAACGTCAGCTGCACTTTGTCCTTTCTCCACCAGCTCTTGTACACATCCGGCATACCACTGGGTAAAGCGGTTCATCGTGGCAGTCTTGAACACATTGTTAATGTTTAGGTCGTTCGGTTGCAGGAGTCCCGTGCAGCTTGCCGGGACGAAGACGTACTCATTGTTGTTTGCAGCTAGTCTCTGCAGAAGACTCTTCGTACGATGTGGAGCGAAGATGTCAAAAATGCAAAGTGCATGTTGACTGGCACCACCTACATGACTCCTGCGTGTCTCCACTTACGGAAGGAGAACAGTGTCGACAAATCGCAGCATTGTGGCTTCGTCACTGTGTCACACGTCCCAGTCATTTGGAAACATGAGCTTGGCATGGCACCTGTCTGTTTTGTCTGCATATAACACTTGAGGAGGCAAGGTTTGCCAGAAAGCGTCGTGGTTATCAAAACGGTGACTTCCCTTTTGTCGTCCAAGCCAACCACCCCAACTTGCTTGGAACCTCAGGCCTCCATCGTCCACCTGCTGGCCGGAACCAGCTTGACACTTGTTTGGTCCAAGTTGAGCACCAAGTCGTCGGGAATACTGAAGTGGTTTCTCTTCTCGTCGATAGTCTGCAGGAACTTCTTCTTGGCACCCTCGAAATCTTTCGGAAAATTTCGTGCAGTCTTCGCGGCCTTACGCTTGACGAATCTAATCCTGTTCAGGAAAGATCTTGCCCAGGGTCTGTCGAGAAGGAGAGTCCCACCAAACTCTGGCAAGAGTGTTGGCTTGGTTGCCTGCAAAATGCCCAGTGCAGCAGCGATGCAAATTCTGGAGTTTACAATCCCGCCCCCTTCTCTGAGCTACACAATGTACGCCCGTACGTCATCATCCAAGTTTCCAAGCACAGGCTTGACACCTCGAAGTTTACCAGGCAAGGTAGCCAGCTTTTTTGAATGACAGGACTTGCAGGCTTGGATACAGGAGGTCTTCATTTCCCTGATGGTGCTCTCCTTGAGAAGGTTTTCTCTTCCATCGTAAAACTTCCTCAGTGCAGCAATTGTCCCATTTCACGCAGCATATTTTCCAATCTTACATCTAAGTTTAGAAAGAGTTATATACGTAAAAACAGGGGACGGGACAACACATCTTTCAACGGACGCTTCGCCTTCGGAGCTCCACTATGGGAGAGGGAAAGTTAAAAGGAGGGGGAAGGGGAAGGAGGGCGGAGGGGGGGGGGGCAAGACAAGGACCCGGGAGAAAAACTGGGGGAAAGTAAAGCGCGATCCTTTGGACTCTACCTCAGGAAGACCATCCCTCACCCCGCCGTCCACCAGGTATTTGGATTCAACTCTGCCAGCTGGACTGCCAACTACAGAGTCATGCAGATAGCACGCAGTGAGCTCTCGCAGGAAATCCTTGTCATGCAGAGGTCACTTCCCGGTCTAATGACGGGCATCTTCGGTGCCTGCTTTACAGTTCACCCTTCGTACATAATTCTAACCAAGTCAGGACAAGACCTCCTGAATTCATCTTGGAAGTTCGTAATTGCGACTGCATCCACAGAAAAACGAGCGAACCAGTGTCCCAAGCTTCAGCCTCCGCTAAATCTCTCGGGCTCGAAACTATCACCGGAAGCCGAGGCGCTGCTCTCAAAGGGACCCAAATTCGCTCCCCCTGTCACACCGTCAAGAGTGGATCAGCTCGCAGCGGTACACCAGATCGCGTCGAGAATTCCGGAGCCTGCCCGACAAGAGTTCCTCGGTGTTGGTTCCCGTTTGGTGTGCATGTATGGAGCAGCCCACCCAACCAAACCAGAATTCCCCCAAGTGGTGAATGAACTCAGGGGGTCTGACGTGAGGCTTTTGGAGGCAGACAAGACAGGAGTGTTTGTGGTTATGAACGAGTCTAACTTCGGTGAAAAGGTTGAACTCGCCATCAAGAAAAACTTCGTCCTCGTTAACAAAAGACCGTCCGGCACCCTCCGTTCGGAAGTCAAAGACATCTGCAGGTCGAACAACCTTTCGTCGCTTCTCACGAGAGTGTCGGCCCCTGCGAACCAGTATCTAACAGTTTTTTTCACCGCCAAAACCCACAAACCGGAGATCCCGCTAAGGAGCATCGTATCAGAAAATGGATGCTGGCAGAAGCCTCTGGCTCTCTACCTGCAAAAGCACCTGGCAGCCGTCCCCCTGGACCAGCCTTTCCGTGTGGGCAGCTCTCAGGAACTCCTCCCAGCCCTCCAGCTTCTCCACACATCAGGCCCAGGTACCACCTTCTTCTCCCTAGACATCACTGACATGTACTACAGCCTCGACTTCAACATCCTCGTGGATGCGGTAGAAAAAGCCATCACCACACAGGGTATCGTCAAATTCCAAAACTCTTCCGGCATCCCCCTCAGCGCGTTCCTGCAATTAATCAGGGTATATCTTCGGTCGACCATGGTGGAGCATGACGGGAAAATATATTTACAAAAATCGGGTGTCTGAAGCGGGTCCTGCCTGGCACCTTCGCTAAGCGAAGTCTACCTTTCCTTCGTGGATCAGGCCGTGAAGGAGCAACTGGACAGCGTCGCCCGAGGAACCCAGGTGTTCAGATATGTGGATGACTATCTGGTGCTCCACGACTCCGGCGTGTCCACCGCCGCCATCCAGAAAGCCTTCACGGATAACGCAAATGGCCTGAGCTTCACCAGGGAGGACCCCTCGGCGGAGGGTCTCCAGTTCCTGGACGTACGCCTTGTGGCCACCCAGGGAGGCACTTGCTGGCGCTTCCAGCAGCGGACGCAGAAGCCGGTGCTACCATTTACTAGCCACCATTCAAAGACAGTAAAAGCAGGCATCGCAAAAAGTCTCATCTCCTCCACCCGCACAAAGCCTGGAGGGACAGCTCAGCCGCCTCACAAACGCCGGATACCCGCGCGACCTGCTGGCCTCCACGCTCAGAAAACTAATAGTTGAAAAAGCCACCGCTCGGAAGCCTGCCCAGCAGAGGTATACAACCATCCCCTATTTCCACAACACTGCCCACCGACTAAAAACAGTGGCTCGACGTTTCGACATGGACGTTGCGTTTTCGTGCCCCTTCAAGTTGAGCGCCATGTGCCTCCTGGTAAACTCTCCCCCTCCTTCCAAGATCAGCCGCGCCAAGAGGCATCCGGTCCCCTTTCTCCCCTGCGCGGTCGGACGGGTGTATTCAGTGCCCTTCTCGTGCGGGGCAGAGTACATCGGACAGACGGGCCGCTGCCTCAACGACCGCCTGCGCGAACATGAGAGAGAAATAAAAAAAAACGACGAAGACTCCCAACACCCTATGGAGCATCACCTCAAGGCTTGCGCTCCATGTGCCCCCGAGTTCCCGTCCGCGCGTGTTCTGGGGGCCAACAAGAACCGCTACGGGCGCGAGATCGTGGAGGCGTCCGCCATAAAAGAGGCGCCGAAGAGCATTTCCTCGGCCTCGTTGTCGCTGTCCGAGAGAGAGGTGACATTCCTGAGACCGGAGTTGACGGCCTTGGCGGGCCGGGCGAGCGCCCCTTGCTCCTGAGAGGGAAATCGGGATGCTTCTTTCCTTCCTCTCCTTTCCGCTGTCTCTGCGCTTTACTTTCCCCCAGTTTTTCTCCCGCTTCCTTGTCTTGCCCCCCCCCCCCCTCCGCCCTCCTTCCCCTTCCGCCTCCTTTTAACTTTCCCTCTCCCATAGTGGAGCTCCGAAGGCGAAGCGTCCGGCGATAAATTAATTTGTTTGTTGAAAGATGAAAGATGTGTTGTCCCGTCCCCTGTTTTTACGTATATAACTCTTTCTAAACCTACATCATTACCAACGCGCTCACTAAGGAGCTTACATCTAAGTTCTTCATTGTAAGCAGAGTAGGGCCCTCGTTTCCGCTTTCGGGAGTCCACGACGGTAGAAGCGGCAATAACACTTTGATTGGCCGACGTAAAAGAACGCTTATCACGTGTTGTCTTGCATACCTGTGGGTCAGGCAGTCCCGGCATATGATGATCTTCTGCATTCTCGAAAACTGGCTTGAAGTAACTTAGTAAGGACATCGCGGGACAGCAGATTGGCGGGCACAAGAAAACGTACCGCACTCACACAGAGCGTGCTGGCGTCGACGACCACGGTACGCAGCCAAGTTTGATTGACCCCTAAAGCATAAACCTACTTTGAGTCGGTTTATGTACAATCGTTTGACCCCATCGCCCTTTGTCGCTCGCCTTCCATGCAGAGTGTGTGACCTCGAAAAGTGAACCCAAGAAAGGTTAAGGGGTGTGTGACCCAGTAAGTTTGGACCCTTAACTTATTTACACACACTGGTTTGACCCCATTGCCCTTGGCGGTTGTCCTTTCATGCAGGGTGTGTGACCTCGAAAAGTGAACTCGAGAAAGGTTCACATCGAAGAAAACCGATGTGAACACAAACCCAGGCTTTGTCGGCGTCTCGAAGCTGCGGGCAACGGCTGTGACTTCCGGACCATTAGTCACACAATCTACCGGCGTCTTCCCTTTCCTAGATTTTGACTGATTTACTGAAGTCGCAGAATCCTAGAAAGATGGAAAGAGAACCGGGCCGGAAGGGGGGGGGGGGGGGGGGGGGGGGGGGTTCTGGTGTCAGTCTGGATACGCGAAAATTAGAACCCGCGAATAATCTTAATTTTTCAACTTTGGCCCAATTCGCGAAAATTCCGTCGTTTATGGTGTATATATATATATATATATATATATATATATATATATATATAACTGAGTAGAAAAAACCCTTAGTGAAAACAGCAACAACGGACGATTAATTCTTCGACATTTCCGCCGGAATGCGGCCTTCTTCAGGAAGAACTTCTTTCTTCCTGACAAAGGCCGGACTCCGGCCGAAACGTCGAAGAATAATTTGTCCCTTGTTGCTGTTTTCACTAGGGTTTTTTTCTTTTCAGTTATATACCCACGCCTTCGGCCTCCCGCCACCATCTTTCGGACACTTTTCTCACAGTACCCGAGATGACAGCTGGGGCTGTAACTTCGTCGTTTCAAGGATATGTGCCCGTTTCATATCCTGCTGTATGATTTCAAAATAGGCGTAATGAAGTCAATGAGCATATCGAAACTTTTGTTACTTCGCGTTGAACGACGCGCTGAATTGATTGAACATTCTAACAGAGTTTTAACATGCTTGCATGAGGACGTGTGAATTGTGCCCTAATGGATGGCAAACTTTTGCAAACGATTGCCAACCTGTCTTGCAAATGTAGTTTAGATATTACTACCTAAAGTCTTTTACAAATCAAGAGGGTGGAAAAAGCTCCTCCCATAAGCGTGATGCGCCCGATTTAAATCCAACCGCAGTCGAAAGAATAGTTCCCTGGAGGCGCCCCTTGATCAGCTTCAATGAATAGATAATGGATACAGAGTGATGCCAACTTTTTTCCGATCCCCACTTTTTAACGAAGCGACCTTTGTATTCATTGGAGGGGGAACCGAGCCCCTGAAAGTGGCCTTTGTATCCATAGGAGAGGGAACCTAACCCTCAAGGTCGTATATGTTTCCATCGGAGGTGGAAAATTCTAATCTCCCTCTCGTGGCTTCCACAACGCTAGGTCAAAGTGAAAAGATCCAGCAAGCTTTCACAGAAAGGGAAAAACCTCTCTTGTGTTAGCCACGACGTCATGGAAACGATGGGACGCTATTGGATCCGGTGTAGGCGGAGGGATATATGAATCCCTTTGAGAGGCATTTGCTGCTACCTTCTTTACCTGTAACTTACTATAGCGACTCCAATTCCTTGCATACACATTGATCATTAACCGTTTTCCACAGTTCCCATGACTCCACCACAAGTTAACCTCGTCCAGTTGAAAGGTAAGTATTTTCTATTGCATCCTGAGCACAAAACTACTGACTCTAATTCCATAAAATTCTCCTCCAGTTTATTCTTGGATCTTCACTTTTAATGCACATTCAATGCATGTTTTACTCTAGTGCAGTGTTTGTCTCATCCTTTCAAAGTTTCGCTTTTTTGTAACTTCACTAGCAAAAGAAACCAGAACCTCGGCCTTTCTAAGAAATGTGGTTCGGATCGGGATTTTAACATTAAGGATAATTGCTAATGAAGATTACCAGTATTGGTAATACCAAAACGTGCTAATTGGGTTTACCAATATTGTAACCGATGTCTATAGGTTACAATATTGGTAATCCCATTAGCACGTGCATATTGTAGTTTCTAATTTTCATAACACACTAAGATACAATAGAATACCAATAACTGTTTGGATCCCAATATAAAATAGCACTTGTTTGATCCCAATTACAATAATCTATTGAGGAGTTTCAGCGAATATAGGGGGCGTTCCGATCGATCCAACATGGCGGACAAAAGGGGGATAGATTTGCGACGCCCGTAGACCGGTAGCGTATAAATAAAACAAAGCGTGTCGTTCTCTGTTTGTTGCCGTGTGCGAGACGATCATCGTTTCAACCAAGACCTACCGTGATGCTACAGATGAAGTCTTCAAGCCAGTTGAAAACAAGAAATCTTGCCAGAGTCAAGATATGTGTGCAAGTGTTCGACGTGAGCTCTCACTTCTGGTGCAGCTGTCATCAAGTTGAACCGAATGTACGCGGGTCCAAAGAAAGGTACTAACATATCAACAATGTTCGCGCGTTGAAACCATGACGCGTACTTTATCTCAGACTAAACTTATCGGTCTGCGGCTACAAACATTTTCGTTGACGTTGCTTAGATGATGTAACCATTCAGGCCTCGCATTAAAAGGTGTCGCGAACTCTTCGGTTGTTCGCGTTAATTGTGCTAAAAAGCGGTTGGATAGAAAGTATGACAACTACAGCATACAAGGGACGATTGAGGTCTTTATCCTGCGTTCTTTGTATCGAAACATCGGTATCCTTGGTGTTATCTTGCGATCAGCTGGTCGCCGATCGTCCTGTTCTTACGCGTGATGTAAACAAGCCCCGGAAGCGCCAATCTCATTTCTATGTGCTTGTGCACCCCTACAAGCCTCGTTTTGGCTCTTGTGGAAAGCTTTATTGTAATAGCAATAGTCTCATCGGTCATTCGAGTTGTATGTGCCACGGTGATATCTGCTGACAAAGAAGTCTATTAAATGCGAGAAGGAGAACCAAGGTAAAGCTTTTTTAACTGTTTTCTTTTTACAGAACAGGGCAAAGCTTCTAAAACAAGACCAAACTAAGCTGATATTTGAGTGTGCTCAAGAATGAATGCCAAAGGTGCTTATGCTAAGTGGTAGATGTATGCAGTTGATTTTCTGTTTGCCTCTGCATTGTAAATGGGAAGATATGTATCAGCAGAAGACACATGTCCTTTTGAAAATGTCTTTTATTAGGGCAAAAATAGGTTTTCATACAGAACCGAAGAGTCGCAACACCATTTAATGCGAGGCCTGAATGGTTACATCATCTGAGCAACGTCAATGAAAATGTTTGTAGCCGCAGACCGATAAATTTAGGTTTAGATAAGTATGCGTCATAGTTTCAGCCTCAAACACGCAACATTGTTGATATGCACCTTTCTTGATGACAACTGCACCAACGTGAGAGAGCCCACGTTGTCGAACACTTGCACACATATCTTGACTATGGTATAACAAGATTTCTTGCTTGAAGTGAAGATCATCTCGCTACGACTAGCTACGACCACCCACCGCAGCGATGCAGGCGTCGAAGGGGCGCAACGCAGTCAGTCGCCGTCGCCTGACGCTGCTCGTTTGGCATTCACGGCTTTCTGCCCAGGTGCTTCGTTTGTACTTGGCACCGAGTGTTATTTTCTGTGCTTGTGTGTGATCTGTGGCAAGATATGGGCCTCAAAAGCAGTTCTTCAGGCTCAATAGCGTTCACCGAAGAACTTCTGAAGAAAATGCCACCCAGGAAAAAAAGCACGAAGACACAACGCACCAGCTTGGCGGACTATGCACTGGGCGCGGAAATCGGGCCCTGCGGATTATACACCAAATGCAAACTATCTAAACAAAACAGAAACATTTTTAGGCTCAAATTGGCTTCTGCGGACTATACGCTTGGACACTGGTGCCTGTTATTATGCATTGTATATCCACTGCTGTTTGTTGTGGCTTGAGACTGCCTTTCTGTAATGATGCAGAGGGGTCCACTGAACCTTGAAATAAAGATATTTAAGCACATCTAGATGCAATGCCCCTTGAAGCCAGATGGTCAGGGAAAAGGTGTGCCATTATCTAATTTGCCAACAGCACACCAATGGTCACAATCAAAACTCACCGAGTCAATGGGCAGTTTTTCACCACAATATTTATTGCCGTGTAATCACCAATTTGGTTCATTAAAAATCTTGAGGCTGTAGCCTATAGCACATCTATTCTGGATCTGCAAAGCTTATGCTGTAGACATGCATTATCACATGAGCATGTTTCTTATCAATCTTAAACGTGAAACGCTAGTTATGCAACGAAATCCCCATATCACATTTTTAGCAAATTGAATGGTCCCACCTGTCACACTGTTAGCTTTGGAAGTAAACCAATTCACAATACCACCAGTGGCATACATCGTGCCAAGCATTAGTGCCGCATGTAGCACAAAAATGTCTTAACTAGGGAAGCAAACTTAATCGATCGTGTTGATTAAAGCACTTAAGTACGGGAGAAATTACCAATCAGAAGGTCACCCGAAAGGGAAGTTTTCTCGCTGAACGAATATGACTTTTTATTGGGCGTTCCGCAATGTAAGGCCCAAGACATTCACTCCGTGATCGGTACAGAAGCATTTGCTTAGCAGTCGGTCGTGCGTGCTAAAAACAAAAAAAACAAAGGTGGATTAGAAACGCGATAGATTCGCCTTTGCACGGAGTACTTACACTCAAAATCGTCTCAACATAAAGCGACTATGGCCCACCTTGCTAGCAGCAATCTTAAAATTTATCCGTGTAGTCGTCGCAGCCGTGCACCAACCGAAAGCGTTGCTGCAAGCCCTTCCGCCGTCAACTTTGAATCGCTGTTGAGTCTGAAGAACTTCTCTATGAGGTCCATATCCAGCCACTGAGCACATACACAAGCACAGGAAATAATACTCGGTTCCAAGTACAAGCGAAGAACCCGGGGCGGAAAGCCCTGAATGCCGAACGATCTGCGTCGGGCGACGGCGGCTGACTGCGTAGTACACAGGTTGCGCTCCTTCGACGCCTGCATCGCTGCGGCGGGTGGTCGTAGCTGGTCGTAACAGATCGTGTCACCTCTGTTGCCTGTACCGAAACACTAGAGCCGCGTAATATTCTTGCTGCCGAAGTTTATAAGCCTACGTTTGCGGCCAACGCCCGCCCTGACCGCCCAGCGAACCTATCCCCCTCGTTCTCTTTCGGCAACCGGCCGCCAGGGCGGTGACACCGTCGCTGAAACTCCTCAATATTGCATTGGTTCTACAATTTCCATAATACGATATGTAATCGGACTTTTTCAATAGAAAGGGCGAGACTGAATGAGAAAAATTGTTCTGGCATCCTTGTATTTTATACTCGGAATGAGAGTAATCTTAAATATTCTAGACGTACGAAGAAGTGTTTCTTTTCTGTATTGCGCGAGGAAATGTTTATAGAGCTTGTGAACGCATTCATTACCGTCCGTCACCAAAAATAACTCGTAAAATGTTCTCTTTTTCAGATTAAGCACTTACTCATGGGATGGATAGCCTCATTTCTAACAAGCAGACCTCAGTCTGCCTTAGTGAATAGTTCTTCATCTAACTCAGTCCCGGAAACTTCAGGTGCCCCCAATGCAGCGTTCTTGACCTCTTATCTTATTTATATTAATAATCGTTCTTCTTTAATTGACTCAACTATTCAACTTTCCGCAGATGACTGTGTTATTTATGAAACAATTTCAAATCCTAGTGACCATTGCATCCTCGAAAATTACCTTGAGGCTATACTTCACGGTGCTCAGAATGGCAGTGGTCCGTTAATCCGGCAAATAGAAGAAAATGACCCTCAGCACGACCTCGAACATATCCTTCATCCAATATTCATTATTAACGCAGCAACAATAATGTGTTCAAATATACAAATATTTGCGTGTTCATATTTCTGGTACATATGTAATCAACATATCGAAAGTTTAATCGCTAACTCATTAAAATCGGTAGGTTAATTAAAGCAGAACCGACATCTGGCCCTTACATCACCGAAAGTGTTGGCGTATGATACGAATTCTTCCTAAACTAAATTATGCAAGCATCAAATATCGTCCATGTGAAAATTCTAAATTCTAATTAAGAATTTCTTAAAAACAAAGCAGCGCGATTTATATCAAACGATATTTCACCTCTAACCAGTGTCTCAGCTTTGAAAACAAATCTGGGTCTCACTTAATTGTTCAACAGGGGCAAAAAAAATAATCGAATATGTTTTTTATGACATTTACTATAGTAACTTATTCTTCGAAACAACCATTTCCATTTTGTACATTTTTTTTAGAACCAATAATTCGTTTATGGTACAGCAATTCCGGTCTCACACAAATTTCTTCCTTTTTTCTCACCTCAAATTGTCTATCACAGTAGGAATTACTCGCAAGACGAGAAAGTTTGTAACCGAAACGACGTTGAATGTAAAGAAACGTGCGAGCGTCTATGACGTAATTAATTCAAAGCAAAAAAAAAATATTCTTGTAAAACGTGTCGCTCTGATTGCGCTTAATTGTTATGTAGCGCCTATGAGTAGAACATTTACGGGGAAATTGTGTTTTCTTGTAGCGAATGAGTTGACCGCCCAGTATCCTTATTTAATTCTACCCCAAAAGACGCCCTTGAGGTAATTAAAT